CTCAATTAATGACATTGACTTCACTTTTCTGCTTGTCCCATAAGTCTTTATTCCCTTGGCCTTTCTCATTCTTCTTATCTAAATCCATCACTTCATACTTCTCTGCATTTCACTTGTATGACAAGTTACTTCCGAAAATTATTCATTGGTTGTAAAATGCTATTGGTTGGTTCACAGTTCTTCAAAGCTTTATTCTTAATTTTTTATTCCAGAATAGTCACTGGACTGATGACAGACTATTTGGTCTCCAAATTCCTGATCCCTTATTAAATAGCGTGCTAGATCTGTCTCTACTCCTTTGCCCATCAAATTCCCAGTATCTCACCCAGTACATTCATGAATTATAAAAATTACATATATTCCATCCAGTCAGTTTATTTATTTGATCCAATTTCAATATCTAGTTTCCAACACTGTAAAAATGCCAATTTGATTACACCTTCAATCTCACTGTCTTGGAACATTTCTTTCTGCATCAATATGATCTAATCGTGTTTCTCTGATGAGAGAGGAGCCCTATGGCCTAATAAGACTATGGCAACTTTAGCTTTATACCTCCACTTCTAAAGATTCCTCACTTGAATTTATACATTCTGATTATATTCAAATCTGATGCTTTGACTGAAGTCTTGTGTAATGCTTTTAAAGCAAATCCTCATCTGAAATTTGTTTTGCACTTATTCCATTTTTATATAGATCAAGTACTCTCAGCTCAACCTCATTCCTTGACACATGCCAGAAATGCATTGCAAGGAGGGTTCTCCTAGGGCTCCTTGTATATATTTGACATTTACTTGTATCCAAAATGATGGCAACACTAATTTCTGCCAAAACAAGCTGAAAATAGCATGACGTACATTTTCCACATTGGCACAATGTTGCACATCAATTTCTGTTCAGTGTTACATTGCTATTACTTTGCATGCCAGTAACCAGCATGGGTAATTTGAAATGGAAATCACAAATACACAATGGAATGTTGCCAACTAAATTCAAATCTTTCAATTAATTATAGAAATCCAATTCAGCCCAAACAGGCAATGTTCCTGAAGTCTTATAGAGTTTCTGATCTTTACATTAACTTTAGTACAATACAGCAATCATATTCACTACCCAATGGGCTGAACTTCCATCTTGTTTGCTTCTTGCTTCTAGCTTCCGAAAAGCTTCCCAATCACCATCCTGTCAAGTCAGGCCCATGCTTGCTCATCCCACTCTTAAATCCTGCGCTAGCCACAGGCAGCCCATTAAATACCAGCTCCTGCTCATCACATATGTTAAACCGAAACATTAAGCATCCCTTTGCTTCTTTCTGACCCAAAGACCAACTCCCAACCACCCATTTTCTTTCATGCACAGTCTCCTGCGATATCTACCTTCAACTTGCTACCCATTGGCTAACGTAATCATTTTGTATCCTGAGCTTTAATGGGAATAATGTAAAAACAAATTACAGGAGCTTATGACCTTGTTGTATATACAAGGTCAGAAATCACACCACACCTGGTTATAGTCCAACAGATTTCTTTGTAAGCTCAAGCTTTCAGAGTGTAGACCTTCACCTGACGAAGCGGCTATGCTCTGAAAGCTTGTGTTTTCAAATAAACCTGTTGAACTATAACCTAGTTGTTGAGAGATTTTGGACCTTGTCCACCTCAGTCTAACACCAGCACCTCCTCATGGTTGTACATACAAGTGGGACAGAGGGAAGGAAACACTTACAAAAATTGAAAAATGAATGAGACAGGAAAAGGGAACTACAAATACAAGGATAGAAAATGTGAGGGAGATGGAGCTTTCTATCATATTGAAGTTAGCAGATTTGCTCAAACCATAAGGATGGTATTGGGATTGCTAGCTGTTTGTTTATGAATAAGTTCTTTGCATCAGGAGCTGGTAGCTCAACTGTCACTAAAGAACAGCAATCACACAGTAAAGGAAGAATTCCCTCCAAGTAGCGGAACTGGAACAGAAGGAATCACTGTTTAACATCCCATTGGAGGAAAGCTCTTGAACTCCAACAATGTAATATACCCTCGTTACATGAAATTAAACGGCAACCAAAGTTGGGTACTCAAAATCTGAAATGGGATTTCAAAGCACAAACCTCTGACTCAGAGCTATTACATCCAATGCCTTGTACATAATGTAGTATATTGATACATTTTTCTGTGTATCCTTTGACTCGTGGCAACAGGAGGTTAATTATTTAAAAACAATTTGGAAGCAAATGCAAAAAAGCAAATGAAAGTCAATCTCGACATGTGTGAGGTGATGCACTGGGGCAGGATAGCCCAGGCGAGGTAATATATCATGAACGGTACCACACTGGAAGGCACCGAGAATCAGAAGGACCTTGGTGTGCATGTCCACCAGTCCCCTAAAGTAGTGGGACAGGTAGATAAAGTGGCTAATAAGTCATATATGATAGTTGCCTTTATTAGCCAAGGCATATAGTTTAAAAGCAGGGCGGTTATGTTGGAACTATATAAAACATTGGTTAGGTCATGACTAGAGTATTCTGTGCAGTTTTGGAATCCACATTACGTGAGAGGTGTGATCGCACTGGAGAGGATTTACCAGAGTTTTAGTTTAGAAGAGAGATCAGTTAGACCAGGGTTATTGTCTTGAAGTGGGTGAGACCAGAGGTGGGGGGGCGCAATAACATTGAAGGGCATAGGTGGAACAGACAGGTGAAGGGATCAATGACCAGGGGAATATATTTAGAAGGCTGAGAGGTATTTACTTCACTCAGAGGCTGGTGGGAATCTGGAACTCCAAGTTATGAACCAGGCTTCCACAGCTGAATCTCGAAGCTTCACCCCAGTACAATATGTTAACGAAGCCCATTAACTTATCATCCAAATACATGTTTTTTGGTCAGTTAATTGGTCAATCAGGTGATTGACAGGTAAAGGATTCAATTAGCACATTATTAAACGTCCAAAAGTAGTTATTGGGAAATCTATAGAGATCTTGTCTGTCCTCGAGGGAAAACTCACTTTCTTCCCAACAGGACTCATCTGACTTAATTAAATTGAGTTAGACCTCATGGCTCTGCGTAGGTTAAGCATGCATCATGTTGGGAGTTTAACAAGTGAAAACAGCAAGCTTTCTGCTATCTCCCTAGTTCCCAAGGCATTAGAATTGGAGATTCCAGCTCTGAATGATAGATTTACAACTTAGTTTATTATTGTGCCATGTTGGCTAGTTAAATTATCAACAATATTCTGGTTTCCAGATATTGGATTAGAAGGCAACTCACAGAGATTGAAGTTGGTTCTAAATTTTCATTTATACGACACTTTGGAACCACCTTAAACTAAGGCATAGTCACTAGTTCTGGGTCATATGACAAACATATTGTTAATCCAGGTTGGCAGGCTCTCATCAGTAACATGTTAACAGAAAATATTTAATCCTTATGGCAGGGCCTTTGACAGAAGGAAAATACGCTTCATGAGGCCCACTTATGCACTGGTGCACTGAGGCCACTGCAGTTCTAAGCACTCTCCCTCCCCTGACATTATCTGTTTTTACTACCAATCTTTCAGTTTGATTCTAGATAGCGCACATGAGCCACAGGACACAACCCTTGGTGCTGGGTCCACTGCTTTTCGTCATTTATATAAACAATTTGGACATGAACATGGAGGTATGGTTAGTAAGTTTGCAGAGACACCAAAATTAGAGTTGTAGCAGACAGCGAAGGAGATTACCCCAGAGTACAATGGAATCTTGATGAGATGGGCCAATGTGCCAAGAAGTGGCGGATGGAGTTTAATTTATTGTGAGGTGCTGTATTTTGGAAAGTCAAATCACGGCAGGACTTATACGCTTAATGTAAGGTCCTGGCAGTGTTGCTGAACAAACAGACCTTGGAATGCAGGTTCATAGTTCCTTGAAAGTGGACTCGCAGGTAAATAGGATAGTGAAGATGGCATTTGGTATGCTTGCCTTTATTGGTCAGTGCTTTATTGAGTATAGGAGTTGGGAGTTCACGTTGTGGCTATACAGTACATTGGTTAGGCCACTTTTGGAATACTATGTGCAATTCTGGTCTCTCTGCTTTAGAAAGGGTGTTGTGAAAATTGAAAGGGTTCAGAAAAGATTGACAAGGATGTTGCCAGGGTTAGAGGGTTTGAGCTATAGGGAGAAGCTGAATAGGCTGGGGCTATTTTCTCTGGAACATCGGAGGCTGAGGGGTGACCTTATGGAGGTTTATAACATCATGAGGGACATGGATGGGGTAAATAGACATGGTCTTTTCACCAGGGTCGGGGAGTCCAAAACTAGAGGGCATAGGTTTAAGGTGAGAGGGGAAAGATTTAAAAGGGACCTAAGGGGCATTTTTTTTATGCAGAGGATGGTGCATGTATGGAATGAGCTGACAGAGGACATGGTGGAAGTTGGTACAATTACAACATTTGAAAGGCATTTAGAATAGACAGGGTTTAGAGGGATATGGGCCAAATGCTGGCAAATGGGACTAGATTTATTTAGGATATCTGGTCAGCATGGACAAGTTGGACCTGTAATCTAGAATGAAACATGAGATTTGATAGAAACTTACTGTGTGCACAAGAAGCAAGTCACACAAACTTTGAGGCAATGGATTATGAAAAATGACCCAAGACAACATTTTCTTTTGCTCTTCTTGTCTCAGGATCAAATGTAACACCAAACGATTCACTATCTCAATGGAACATCTCATAATTTGAGTATTAGTTTTAAAAAAATTCTGTCAAAACCTTTCATCTTACACTTATTAGAACACCACTCAAGAAATACCAATTTAATGACAAACCAACACTTATACTGCACAAGAGCAGACTGCTGAAGAATTATGCTGACAACCAATTTATGATTATCAGACAGGCTAGCAGCACACTTGCAAGTACTGGAAGCTATATATTAATACAATGATTTATTCTTTGCAGACAGAAATAAACATATAAACTCAGTGCTTGTTTCAATAGAAAATAGGCAACCACCATTACCTTATTCATTTCTTTTGACCCATCGTAGTCAACTTGCTTTGTTTAAAATTTAAACAGAGGTAGGCGGCAAGCTGTCAGTCATCATTAACTGATGCATTTTCCATAGAACCGTCTCTACTGAAGAGTCCACTTGCTAATTATTCACCATTTTTCTCTCAAACAATACAAAATTTATTGTCTCTTTACATTGGCGCTTTCCTTTGAGCTGCACTGAAGAGTACAAAACAAAAAGTTTTGATAATATGTCTTTTGTCAGCAATATTCATTCTTTACTACCAAATGACTATCTAAAAGATACACTAAACAACTTGAAAGTTTTTCACAGCACCTTTTACACCATTGGTTTCTACCACCTGGAAGAACAATGGCAGCAGGTACATGACCTGCACATTCCCCTCTAAGTCTCACAACTCTTTTGACATGGATTTATATATACCAACTTTATTCCTTCGTTGTTGGGCCAAAATCTTGAAATGTCATGTTGTAATAGCACTGTGGCTGCACTTAAGCCAGTGCCTGGTGGATCAAGAAAGTAGTCCACCAGTGCCTTCTCAAACGCAATTAAAGATGGGCAATAAAAGCTGGCCAACAATATTCACATCCCAGGAATGAATTGCAACAACAGAAAATTGAATAGTGAAAATTGAATAGTGAGAAACACCTTCAGTAAACTTCGAAAGGAGAAGAAAACAAATTAAAATCAAAAGATTAAAATTGTGGCATGACTTCTAATTTCATCATGGCAGATTCAATCACGTATGTAAATAATATTATTGGGATACGTCGATCCACTTCAGATTACACACAAATTCCTCTCATGTTGCGAGAGGATAAATATGGAAAAGGTCACTAAGTGACTTGCAATCAGGCTCTAATTGGCTCAGCAAATACAGCAACTGTGACCTTAAAAAGGACACATCAACTTACACACAGTTGTAATTTAACGGAATTATTTATTAGACAACATAATTGAGAAAATATTCTCCAATTTAATATAAGAATCATAAGGTAGATCTGTTGGTCATGGGAGCAGGTGAATTTCTCATTTATTTATTCTCACCTCTCAGACATTTAAAACTAATTTTTCTGCTTATGTCTCTTGGCCAGCATATTTGCAGGTTTCTCCCATTTTTAAAACCATTTGGCTGTCTATCGCGTTGTACAAGATCAGGGAGCATTGGCTTGTGGACTAATGTTTCCTCTGGGAAGGTGGCTCATCCAGACATCTCTGCTGTGAAATTAGAAACTCACTGACCTGAAGACCGTACATAAAGAGGCTAAGTGATGTTTTCATGTTGGCAGCACTTTGATCTTGCTGCCTGCATTTACCAGAAATAAGGCCACATCCATAAATAACAAGAGATTGGCTGTAGAGGGTTTCTTTGTGATTTGTTCTTCAGTAGAAGTATCCAAATTATACCCTACATTTTAGTGCAGGTCATTCTCACATTTTCTGATTTCAAGTTACTTACCATGTAAAACTTCATTACCTTTTAAATTTATGACACAACATTGAAAAGATGGACCACAGTACAAGTCAGACATGCCTTTATAGTCTACACCCAAACAGTCTTGTAGAAAATTTATTTCAGCAATTGAAGCTTTTAGAACCTCACGCTTGTCTTATGAATTTGTACCACTGATTTCTCCACTTGCACAAGGTTAAGCTGACTTTCTATTTGAATGTCAAGAGTGCTTAGCAATAAACTAATTATTCAAAGCCAGTTTTCTAACAAAATTGCAGGAAAGAAAGCCAGGTTGATTGGCCGCCTGTTCAAAATAACAATTTACTTTTGCAGCAAAAAACTTGAACCATGAGCCCTTAGCCTGTTTGAAATATGGAAATCTACTTGAATACAGAGTTGAAATTTGTACGTCAAAGATTAAAGGCTAGTAAAGGAAGAAATTCTGCAAGTGATGCAAATAACCAGCAACCATTTAATTTACTCCACTGAGATTTGAAGCTAAAAGGCTAAAAGACACACTTTTCATTGCACATCCCTAATTGCCCTCGAGAGGTGGTGATGGCGAGCTGCTTTCTTGAACTGACGCAGTCCACGTGGTGTAGGCATACCAATAATAAGGAACGTTTGTAAGCAGACATCCTGATTCTGGTTACAGAACAATTGTAGAGGGGAATTTCTGTAATCGAGCAGCTGCATTCCTCGTTCACAACTTCAAAACAACTAGCTATTGCCATGACTCTGGTCAGAATAGTGTGCTGGAAATCAAGCCCACTAGTCCACAAGTTATAGAAGAGTAAAATAAGACCATAAGACATAGGACCAGAAATTAGGCCCATCGAGTCTGCTCCACCATTCATTCGATCATGGCTCATAAGTTTCTCAACCCCATTCTCCCAGAAACCCTCAATCTTCTTGACAATCAAAAACCTATCTATCGCTGTCTTAAATACACTCAATGATCTGGCCTCCACAGCCTTCTGTGGCAGTGAATTCCATAGATTCACCATTCTCTGGCTGAAGGCGTTTCTCCTTATGTCTGATGTAAAAGCTCCTCCCTCTATTCTAAGGCTGTGCCCTCGGCTCCTAATCTCTCCTACCAATGGAAACATCTTCTCAACATCCACTCTGTCCAGGCCATGTAGTATTCTAAATTTCAATTAGATCCCCCCTCATCCTTCTAAACTCCATCAAGTATAGACCCAGAGTCCTAAAACGTTCCTCATATGTTAAGCTTTTCATTCTTGAGACCGTTCTCATGAATCTCCTCTGAACCCACTCTAGGGCCAGTAAACCCTTCCTGAGACATGGGGCCCAAAACTGCACACAGTACTCCAAATGTGGCCTGACCAGAGCCTTATAAAGCCTCAGAAGTACATTCCTGCTTTTATATTCGAGTCCTCTCAAAATAAATGCCAAAGTTGCATTTGCCTTCCTAACTACTGACTCAACTTGCAAGTTTACCTTGAGAGAATCCTGGACTAGAACTCCCAAGTCTTTTTGCACTTCAGACTTCTGAATTTTCTCTCAATTTAGAAAACAGTCCATGCTTCTATTCTTCTTACTAAAGTGCATGACCTCACACTTTCCCATGCTGTACTTCATCTGCCACTTCTTTGCCCACTCTCCTAACCCGTCCAAATCCTTCTTCAGCCTCCCTGCCTCCTCAATACTACCTGTCCCTCTACCTATCTTTGTATCGTCTGCAAACTTAGCCAGAATGCCCACAGTTCCTTCATCTAAATCATTAATGCATAAAGTGAAAAGTTGCAGTCCAAACACTGACCCTTGCTGAACACCACGGTCACCAGCTGCCATTCCGAGAAAGACCCTTTTAACCTCACTCACTGCTTTCTGCCAGGCAGCTAATCTTCTATCCATGCTAGCACCTTGCCTCGAACACAATGGGCCCTTATCTTACTCAGCAGCCTCCTGTGCAGCACCTTGCCCAAGGCCTTCTTGAAGTCTAAGTAGATAACATCCATTGGCTCTCCTTGGTCTAACTGTTACTTCCTCAAAGGATTCTAACAGATTTGTCAGGCATGACTTCCCTTTGATGAAGCCATGCTGACGTTGCCCTATTTTGCCATGCATTTCCAAGTATTCAGAAATTTCATTCTTCACGACGGACTCATTAATTTTACCCACGACCAAGGTTAGGCTAATCTGTAAATTTCAGTCTTTTGCCTTACTCCCTTTTTAAAACAGGGGTTTAACGTTAGCAATTTTCCTGTCCTCTGGGACCCTCCCTTACTCTAGAGATTCCTGAAAGATGACCAATTTCTTCTCTAGGATGATTAATGCTTGACTATGGCCATAATCCAAGATAAAAGCAACTCACACCAGGTTTCATTAATGAAAAAAAAGTATGTGTCCTCTAATATGGCAAAGACATTATTAATTACTAATGCAAAAATAAACCACACCTCCTTCAATCACAAAGGTATACATTTACCACACATAATATAGACAGACTTTGTTAGGAATTTTGTGGGTGGATGATATAGGTAAAATATCACTTCATTGCCAACTGCTGGAATCCTCAGCATGGCAGCTGATGTGGTGGACTTGGGTCTTGGCTTGAATTAGAAATTTTCTTGCTTTTTGCAAAGTCATCATCCAAAGCGCTACTTTGGATTAATCCAATCCCCGCTGCTGGCTAGGTTTTTTGTAACACCAAAAACACTTCGAGCCAATATGTCTCAAAAGTATCCAGTTTCTTAAAAACAAGTAACCAATAAGTAACCACACAGCTGCACATTCCTTTGAATTATAAAAAAATTTGCTTCTCTGTAACAAAGCAGTCTAAGCCTCCATTTTTCAGTTTAAAACGTGTGTAGGCCTTACGGCATGACCCACTGGGGTAGTACTCTGGAAATCACAGGTCATCACAAGTGTTAAAAACTGTAATCCAACAATCCAAAATCCCCCTTTCACCTGACTGATGAAATCAGACAAATGGAAAACACACAAGGTTTTTGTACTTAACAAGAAAACAGCTATTCATTGCAAACAGTTTTTAAACTAAGATAAACAAAAAAACACAAATTGTTAACTTTTAATGCTACTACAGCTTCAATTCATCCCTTCACAAACAG